TGTAGTGGATTCTGTGAGAGAAAGAATCAGTAGTTGGAAGAATACCTTTCTTTCTACTGCTGGTAGAGAAACACTGATTAAATCTGTCTTAAATGCTTTACCAGTCTTTGTGATGTCATGCTTTATTCTTCCAATGAAACTATGCTCTGAGGTGTGCAGTTTGATTGCAAATTTCTGGTGGGCAAATGGTGATTCTCATGCTAAAGGTCTGCATTGGGTGGCTTGGGGTAAATTGGCAGTTCCAAAATGTGAGGGAGGCTTGGGTTTCCAAGATATTAAATTGTTCAATAGGGCCCTTATTCTGAAACAGTTGTGGAGACTTATTGAGTACCCGGATCTTCTTATGTGCAGAGTTCTGAAAGATAAGTACTTTCCTCATTGTTCCTTTTTTGATTGTTCTCTAACCAATGGAGCATCTTGGTTATGGCGATCTTGGTTTTCTTTGCTGCCTACTTTGAGGAACAAGGTTAATATTACTATCCAGAATGGGGAAAAGACCAAAATCAATGACTGTAACTGGGTCCCTGGGTTACTGAAGGGAACTCCCTCTCTCAGAGCTGATATAGATGGTAACTTGTTTGCTGTGAAGGATCTTTTGATTGCAGGAGGAGCTCTTTGGGATTCTACTCTTGTTAAAGCCATATTTGAGGATGAAGATGCATCTCTGATCCTTCAGATTACTTCTTTAAATCCTGATGCAGCTGATATTTGGAAGTGTGATTTTCTGGACAAAGGCAAGTTCTCTGTTAAGAAAGCATATAGATCTTTATTGAGGAATAAGATTGCTGCTGGGAATGTGGGAGAATGCAGTGAATTGGCTGGGAGCAATAAGAGAGCTAGAAACAGATGTTGGTCTCTTTTGGTTCAGGGGAAAGTGAAGCATTTCATCTGGAAATGCTTTTCAAATGTTCTACCTGTGAGCTGCAATTTGGCTAAGAGGGGAATGGAGATTGATAACATCTGTAAGGTTTGTGGGGAAGCTGAAGAGACATTAGAGCACACTCTGTTTTTGTGCAGCAAAGCCCAAACTGTGTGGCACTTGGCTCCAGTGTCATGGAACTCACAGAAGATGACTAACAGTAGCTTCAAAGAGTGGTGGTGGTGGATTTCCTCTATGAACTTTAAAGACATTTCGGAAGAAAGGATCCAGCTGTCCACCTATATATTGTGGTGGCTTTGGAGGGCTAGGAACTTATGGGTCTTCGATCAATCATGGAAGGATGCCCGGAGCCATAAAGCTCTAGATTTCACCCTCCAATATTGCTCCTCAGCCTGGTGAGCACTATCGAGCTCAGCCTTCATAGAACTCCACTGCTCCCAATCACTGTCAGCCCCTTCCTTTCTCAATTCTTCCAATGTAGCAGTAAGCTTTTGAATGGTCACCGCATTGTTAGAATGAATAGGTTTATGCCAAGCCAGAAGTGCCATCCTGGTATTCTTAATTTTCTGGTGCACCTGGTACATTGCTGATCCCTCTACCAGGCCCTGCCACCCTTCTTTCACAGCTTCTTGGATACCTTCATACTTAAGCCAGCACCTATTGAACTGAAACCTTCTGTGCTTCGTGCGTAACTCTCCCTCCGTGGCAAACAGAATAATATTATGGTCTGAAGCTGTTCTGTAAAAATTTGACACCTCCATAGAAGGAAATCTGGTCAGCCAATCACTCGAGACAAAAACTTTATCCAGCCGCTCCTCAACATAGCCATCTCCTCCTCTGTTGTTTCCCCAAGTAAAAAAAGATCCCTTTTGATCCAGCTCGAACATCTGCATATGCTCAATAAAAGAATTGAATCCCACAAAACTGGATTGACTCCTTTTTGTACCCCCTCTCTTTTCTTCATTAGAGGATATATCATTCCAATCCCCAGCAGCTAGCCAACAATCACCCCAGCAACTTTTATTGTTCTCCAGCCAAGACCATTGCTTCTCTCTGACCTTTCTATCAGTACTAAGATAAGTAAAGATCATCCATACCCAGTCAATCATTCTTGCACTCCTAATCTCCAATTGGATACTGAAAGCATTACTTTTCACCTGGTTTATCTCAACCTCCCTATCCCACATAGCAAGTAACCCTCCTTTAAAACCCACTGGTTCCACTAAATGCCATCTATCTTGGAAACCCAGTTTCCTGCAAACAGTTTCAGTAAATTTTTTTGATTTTTTTGATTCTGACAGAAAAATAACATTTGGGTGGTGGATTCGTCTAGCATCCTTGATTTGGGAAACTGTAGAGGGCCCACCCAGACCTCTACAGTTCCACACCATAGCCTTCATTTGTCACCATGGGGCCATTTGAGGCTGGCCTTCTCCACCTTATAATCAGCATCTGACTTCAATCTTTTCTCCCTCAAAACCTCTCCTTCAGCTCCAATCTCTCCATCATATATAACCAAATCCCTACTCCTCTTCATCAGGGTTTGAGGAATAGAATCCCTAGGGATATCATCCACTCTCAGCAATCTGCCATCTACATTTGCTCTTCTTTTCCATTTAGATGAAAAATTTTTACTGCATTCCCCAGCTTGCACCTTACCTATTTCTGAACTCAAGATCTGAACTGCCTGACCCTGACTTCTATCTGATTCCTCAATCTCCATAATATTGTTCACAATCATACATTCCTCTTGAGAAACAGAAAAACCCTCCTCACTTCTTACCAATGCTAAGTTCTGAATCTTCTCTCCTCTCTCCACCATGCTTGGTAGAACAACCAGATCACCTTGTGTCCCAGGAGTGTTAAAACTCTTCACAGGTTCTACTGGTGGACTTGCTACTGTATTGTTACCAGCAGGATCGAAAGAATCTTGGTTTGATGTATGATTAGTATGGTTTGATTTCACACCTGAGCTACTGGTTTGACTGAATCTCCCACCAGCAAAAGTTTCAATTGCTTTGAGCCACTCACCGTACTGCCCTTCAGAAAGAGACTTCTCTTCAATATCCACAAGCCTCTGAGAGAAATCTCGTTCCAGATGGCCGAAATGACCGCAATAGTAGCAGAGATTCACCAGCCTCTCATATTTGAATGCAACTAGCACCTTCTGATCCCCTAACTTAATCGAAGCACATCTGGGGATAGGCTCTTTAACATTTAATGTCACCAGCAGCTTTAGAAAACTCCCTGCCTCCCCGCCTAATTTACAAATTAGGACGTTTTTAACAGTGTTAAACTTCTGCCCCACTTTGAGACCGACGTCAGTACACATCCAGTTAAACGGGACATTAATAACCTGAACCCACAAAGTTATCTCGTCGAAACAAGAGTGCCTACTGGTTAATCCTGGAAACCACTCTCTTAAAATCAAATACTGGTTCTCATAGATCCAGTTGTGCCCGGCCAGTACCTTCTTTTTATCTTCCAATGAGTTGAAGAGGAACTGGAAGAAATTTGTCTGCAATTCTTTGACCTCCATTGGAGCTTGGAGTTTCCAAATCGAACCCATTGTTCGTTTAATTCCCAACAGACCAGCCTTTCTATCACCAACGATTTTCCCGAACAGGCTCATCACACATTCCTCCTCGCTCGTTTTAATGTCGCTAGACTGCAATTCAACATCATCCGCTTCGTTCGCAGACAGAGATATAGCCTGCAGTCTCTTCATCATTCCTTCATCCATCTCTCCACCAGATCGACACCCTAGGGATTTACTATCCATCCCTCGACCTTCCTAACAACACCCCGAAACCCTAGCAAACAAAATAACACCCGACAGCACAGACCCGAAATAACACTACCAGCAAGAATTCGAAACAAAAACAACAAAAGTACAGAAAATAACCCTCCTTGAAGGAAATTCAAGCTCTCATCTGAGGAAATTCAAGCTCTCATCTGAGAGAATTTTGGCTCTCATCTGAGAGAATATTCGATCCAAAAAACATGTTATATTTATAAGTTAAAAAATTCTTATTAAATAATATTTATAAATTAAAATTGTGGAATCAATATTTAATATAATTTACTTATTTTAATTTATAAAAAATGTTACATAAAGTTTAAATTGTGCAAATTACTTTAAAATGTTTATTTAAAATTAGTACACAACATGTGCGGTGCACATAACTGATAATAAATTACATTATATTCGTTTCAAAATAAACGTCATTTCAAAATTTTTAATTAGAAATTCGAATTGACTATAATGTGATTACATAAAATAGTTATTTTAGTAAAATTTTATCATATATGTAGTAATCTGTGTGAATAATAAGTAAGTTATGAATTTTTTTTTTTTCAAATTTTAATTAAAATTATTTTTATTTTTTTAATACATTATATATCAAATTTAAACCATGCAACTAATAAAGGCAATAGCTGCAACTTTTGTTAATATATTAAATTCTAAATTTAAATCATACAACTAATTAAGCTAATAGTCGCACTATCTAATCAAAATGATTCTTTACATTAAATTAGGTGGGATTTTTTCAAATTTTGGCCAAAAAAATATCCAATATACTAAATCAAAATTATTACGCGGGAACCCAAATATTTTTTATTAATATTTAATTACTATTTCAAGTAAATATATTTGTCCTTTATATATTAATAGATAATTCTTTGTAGTATTAGAAGGGCGCTAGTTGAAAATATTTTATATCCAAATTTATAAATAAAACAACAAAATGTGTGTTTACTGTTTACTAGAAACCTATTATTAGTTATATATAAAATGATAATTGTCACTTGTACGGCTTACTTGATTTATAATTTAATATTTTTTTAATTTAGATTATGTATGGATTTGATAGATATTTTTCTAATTAACAATTCTATTAATTTTTAGTTAATATTGATATATAGTTTAGTTATTTTATAAATGTAATATAATTTTTTTTTTGTTTATACACAATATGTATATGTCAAATCAAATAAAAACAAAACATGATCAATTTATTATATCATATGTGACAAATTATCAAAATACAAATGTTATTAACTTTTACAATATATTTGTTATTTAAGCTATGCATATATTTTATAATTTTATTGTAATTATATATGAACTACTGGCAAACACCGAAAATTAACATGTAAAATTTGATACATAAACTTACGGAGTATTAGAAGTTGACACTAAGCTCGAATAAACTCTATAGGCTCGTTTACTTCGGGGGACAGGATAGGATAAAGAAAGTAATCCCGTAATATCAATCGTTTACATTAATGGATTGGGACATGACTGATCTGATGTGGCATCCATGTGGCCGTCTGACACGAAATCTTATCATTAATTTTCCGATTATTTTTGTCCCACCTCCTACCCCAGTTTTTTTTATGTGTTAATAACATTAAATAGCCATATAAATTTACAAAACACAATTTTTGGCCATAGTTTGTAAAAAATATCTTTTTTAGCCATTTTGGCATATGAGAATACTAAAATACCCTTAACTCCATTTTATCTTTAAACTATTTTTCTTTTCCCCAATTCAATTTCCCCCCAATTCAGACCACTTCTATTTTCAGATCTGAAAAAATACCTCCAAAAATTCATCTCCCTCCTTCACTCTTCACAACGACCGAGAACGTCCGAGCACCTCATCCCCTGTCCGAACAGCGTCCGAGATGGTTCAACCTCCCCCTTCACTCTTCGCAGCGTCCGAGAAGGCTCCGAGCACCTCACCGTCCGACCACCTCATCCCCCCGCCCGACCACCTCACCGTTCGACCTCGCTCTCACGACCTCACGTCTTCCACCGCGCCGTCATTTGTTTGCTCAGCTACTCGCCGGAATCTGAAACCAGGTAGCAAAAGTGATGACCTCCCTTTTTGGTTCGAATAAGAGATTTTTTTTTTTTTTTTTCGAATTAGGAGTCCCTTCATGTTCGAATTAGGGTTTTTGTTTTTAGAGAATTTGGAGTTGAGTTGCTTGATTTACTTGTTCGAATTTGGAGTTGATTTGCTTGATTTCATATGCTTGATTTACTTGTTCGAATTTGGAGAATTTGGAGTTGAGTCCCTTCACTGTTCTTTTATTATTGGATTGTTTCCGTAAGTAAAGTCGATTTTGTGCAAAATCGAAATTTCGTTTTTTCGTACAATGTGTATTTCACGTGCTTCGACTTTTATTCGTTTTTCGAGTCATTTTCTGATACACACTACCAGTGTGTAGAAAATACTTTTTAATTCCCCTTCTCAGTGTTCATAGGCTACTACCATATGAAAGTGTACAAGTTTGCAGTCTTTTGCTCTCTGAATATGAGTCTCAGTTGATGAACATTTGAAATGTTATGATTATTTATGCAAATCAGATAGCCATTTTTTCTAAATATC